GAAGAAGAAGAAGAAGAAGAAGAAGAAGAAGAAGAAGAAGAAGAAGAAGAAGAAGAAGAAGAAGAAGAAGAAGAAAAGACCTTCTGGGACAGGTGGGGCAGAGGTGAGAGTGGGCACCGAGACATCCACCTAAGCCACTCAGACCACACATGTGGTGTGTGGGAGGGTCCACAGTGAAATAAAATAAGAAAAATGGTCACAAATGGAATTGCAAGGGAATTGGGGACATGTGGAGAAAGGGCCGGAGGCCTGGTGCGTCAATCCCATCCTCCTGGCAGGTGCATCTGGACTGGCACCTGGAAGCGGATGCCTCCATGGGGGCTGAGAGCCATGTGGGTAGAGCTCAGTCTGTGCTTCCTGATCAGAGGAACTGGGACTTATACCATCCGTGTGGAGCTTGTAACACAGTGTGACAGGCAGGAGGAGACCAGCAGAGACCACCAGACTTGTGCAGAGGCCACATGGTGTGGAATTTATTGTGCCTTGGTACAGGCAGACAGTAAAAAGATCTTTTGTAGGGAACAAAGTGAAGTGTGCCCCTTTTATAGGGATGGAAAGAAGGAAGGGACAGTTAGGGCAGAAACATCCGTGGCCAAAGCTCTCTGGCTCTTGCACATCAGTGGGCAAAGTCTTTGAAGGTCCACTATCAATTTGTGGGTGGTTCTAGATGTTCCCAGAAGTCCTGGAACCCACGAAATTCTTTGTCCTAGCTTATCTCCTTCCCGACATCCTGTGCGCGCCCATGACAGCTGCGGTGCCCAGAAGGTTCCCTGCTGCAAGCAGTGCTTCAGCTGGCAAGCAGGTTGGGGCTGGGAGAGTCAGGTCTCACTGAGCCTGAGAGAGATCACATCGAAGAACTTTTCTGTCTGAAACGCTCTTATTTTTTTGTTTCTTAGCATCACATGAAGAAGAAGGGTTGGGAAAGAAACAGGAAGAACTGTATTCTAAAAGGTAAGGCTCTATCCTATGGCAGATGTGACTTGAACGCCCTGATCCTGGGCAGCTAGTTTCAAATCTCTGAGGATATCACCTGGGGAGACCTAAGAGGGAGGCTTCTGGGAAAGAAATCTGACCCAGGGACATTTCTTAGGCTGTGCTTGGAATGAAGTTGTGACTTGCCAGGGAAGGGTGCTGTCCAGGAGGGGGCAGTGTGGGGCACAGTGCAACAATACCACTCACATTTGCAGGGGCAATTTTTAGGCCTAACTGCGGGACTGCTGTTTACTGCTCTGTAACAGACTCCTCATGAGATGAACTGCTGTTCCTCCCCACAAGGTGACTGTGAGGACAGTGGGGGTTGGTGGGTGCAGAAGCTGGCTGTAAAGCACGAAAAGCGGCCCCTCCCTGCTCCTTGCTATCTATCACTGTGAGAAGCCCTGGACACTGAGGGCTGGCCAGCCTCCAGGTCTAGCCTGATAGGGTGTCTCCTAGGTGACATCTATGCAGCTTCTTGTAATATCCCAGGTGCCTCCCTTCTCTGCCATAACCCAGTCTATTTTTCTAGCTTGCAGAGAGTGCCGAAGGGAACTGAAGGAGACTCGACATTTAGTTTTACTTCTACAAAGGTGGGGAGCTTTCCACCTCCAGGCCCTTCATCTCCAGGACAGAGGGTGAGAGGCCATGCTGGGGTGGCTAGCTCTGTGAGCCCAGCTGGGCAAGCAGGGGAGTGGAGGGGCTGTGGACCACCACTGCCCACCTCTGCCCAACCTACCTACCTTTTGGGCCTGTCTGCTTCTGACTATAGCTTGTATCTCCTGTTTTCTGCAGCCTCCTACACAAGCTCCCTGGAAACGTCAGATCCAATGAGCTCTCTCATGGAGATGCCCCAAGTGAGGCCTTCATACCAGGGCCTGCTGGAGCCAATCACCCACCCGGGCCCTGGGCAGCAGCTCCCCCTTCTTCTAGACCTTTGTCCACCTTGCCTTCCCTGGCTTCTGGGACCCAGAACTCACTGGCCTCCACCCTCTCTGTAGAACCTCAAGAAGAGCAGCCCACCTTGAGGAGAGTGCCACCAGGCACTGGGCCCCAGGACTCCCTGCTCAGTAAATCCTGTCTGGCATCTCTCATCGCGGCTCTCCCAGGCCCTGCCCACCTTCACCATTGTCTTTCTTTCTTCTCCTGGTGCTGGGCAACTGCCAAAGTCACATTGTCCTTCACCTGGGCACATGACACATCCCAGCAAGGACATCTGCCTCACCAGCCACCAGACACTGTGTTCTGTCCTGGCCCCACCCACTGGCAGGCAGAGGCAGGAAGAGGGGACCACTCTTTCATCCACCCCGATGTGCAGAAGCTGTTGGAGATGCTGATCAGTGAGAAAGTCAAACAGAAAATGTGCCAGGAAAAGCAACAGGGTGGCTCTTTTTTCCAACCATTGAACACAGACTACCCTCGGGCTTCTCTGAGCAACCTGTTAAGGTTACTGGGTGACAAACTCACCTCAGCACGGCCCTTCTGCAGCACAAAGGCTAAGCCAGCATGGCTTCTTGGGCCTCCTCAGCAGCCCTCCATCCCCAAGGTCCTGGGAAGCCCGTTAGAGCACGAACGCAGCCTACTCTTCTGGGGCCTGCCCTCTCTGCACAGCGAGTCCCTAGTGGCCACTGCCTGGGTCACTAAAAGGTCTTCATCTAGCCGATCTCAGTCCATCAAATTTAATGAAGCTCCTACCCACATCCCAGGTCAATCTCTTTGGAACTTGCCCCCATTTCTGCCTTATGCCCAGCCCCAGGCCCAAGTCCCGTGCTTTCCCCCAAAGCCACAGTCAACCTCTCCATCCCAGGTCAGGGTCTGTGGAACAACTTGCTCTACATCCCAGAAGAAGGCACAGTCTTTTCTTCCCAAAGAAAATCAGGACCTCGAATGGACCCTGCAGAAGCCACAGAAATGGAGAAAAGCTTTAGATACTAAGCTCCAAAAAGCTCAAGAACCCATTAGCCTACCCATGCTCAACCTTCCTCAGGGTGGCCTGGCCTCTAAGGCCCCTTGGTCTGCCTTTGTCCCTTCTGGGGATTCTCCTAGCACTGAGCTCCAGCAGAAACCAGAGTGCCACAGGCCACAGGGATTCAACAGAGAAGACCAGACTGAGAGCCTGCCCCATCCTACCTTCAGGTTCTACAGTCTCATGCAGCCTCTGGGAAAACTCCCAAGGAAGGGGCAGGGGCAGGCGCAGGACAGCCACGAACCCACCCAGAACACCAAACACTCAGTTCCTACTTGTAGTAACAGCAGAGGATCTCAGATGACAGAGTCCTGGCACTCTGGGAGAGACTTTAATAAGGGTCTGATAACACTGAATCCAGAAGAAAAAAGCAATGTTTCACCAGAGGCAAGTAAAGATAAAAAAGACATGTACCAGATTGTGGGAAGTGCCTTACCAAAGGGCACAGAAAGTGGCATTATTTGTCCTGAGGAGTATGGCTCAGGAGGTCACTTCTCTAGAAGCCCAGGTCAGAAAGTCCTGGGAAAATGCCTACAAGTCCATCTGAGCAGAAAGTTGGGGCAAATCAATGAAGGCATGATCCCTGTGTGTGTACGGAGATCGTGTTTTACTGCCAAACAGGCTTTGCCCGAATTGAACACTATCTCACAACCAACAAAGATAACATGCTCCAAGAGTGGGGAAGTATGTGTGAACACCCCACAGGAGCTGGCCTTTCCTAACCCCACAACTCAAATGCTGCTGGAAGCACACATTAAGAAGTGTGGGTTAAGGCACGAGCAGGAGACTCCCTTCCAGAACGTTGAGCACAGAAATATCAGTGTGACTACAGCTCAAGCCTTGCCTGCTCCACAGCCCGCCTTAGACTCAACTGCCTGCGACACCAGAGCTGACTTCATTGCCAAATTAGCCACCTTTGAGGAAGATATTCCTGAGAAAGTTCCAGGAAAGAGAGAGATAACAACACAAACACTGTGTCTGACTCTAGAGAGTCCTCTCCCTGCCACCAGGCAGCCTGCATGTGAGGAAGTGCAGAAGTCCAGCACTGGGACCCCATCTGATCATGCCAATGGGCCCTCAGACATCACCCCAACTGCAAAGGGGGTTGTGCTTCCTTCTGCTGCCTGCACCCTGCAAAGCAGCACTGTTTTGGAGACCAAGACAGACTCTAGCCCAGTGCCCACTCCAGGCCCTGCAGTGGCCAAGCGTGACCCAGGGGAGGGGACTGGGAGGATGGCCTTCAGAGGTACCTGTCACAGCATACCGATGCTGGAAATCAAACTGCTGTCCCCACTCTCAGTAGCCAAAGAGAGCAGGAATCTAGAGGTGGAGGAGAAGCAGCCTGCATGGGAAGTCACCGTAGGGGCCAGCATGATGGAAAATGCCCAGAACATCAACATCAGCCTAAGGACTCTAGGGTCTCAGGATACCGGTAATCACTCCTGCTCCTCTGATCAAACTCCAAGTGGGAGGAGAAAAGTGGATAGTCACCCGGACATCAATATGCACGGAGATAGAGAGAACCGGTCTCACGATGTGTCCACTGGAAGCCTTCGAGAGTCTCACACTGAGGCGCCCCTCAGCACCGGCACCTGTCCTTCACCAGCCTCTCTGGCCAACTCCCAGTACACACCCCACAGCAACACGCCAACCCCACAGTTCCTGTGTGACCACTCAGTGAATGCGGCGAGCAGTCAGGGACAGCATGAGCCCAGCATGTCCGGATTCCAGGACACAGAAAAGAGCAGCAGCAAGCTGTCTGAACCCACTAACCAAAGTAAGAACTACAGGAAGCCCAGACCAGGAGACGAGGAGCAAACATTGGCAGGAGAGAGGCCCTCCCATTCCTGTGAGCTGAGCCCTCTCGAACAGGTCAGGGAAGTAGATACCCCTGGGAGCAAGTCCTCTCCATGCCTGCCAGAGAAGGACCAGGCTTCTAAAGAAAGCCTAATTAACAGAAATATGAAGCACTTTCAGGAGTATCTTAACCCAAATAAACAATGCAAAGAGCAGGAAGACTTCATGCAAAAGCCCAAATCCTCATCTGCCATTGCTCAGAGTCGAACCTCAGTCACAAACAGAGTGGTCAGAAATAGGGAGGACACAAATTCACAGGTGCTCTTGACAGCTATTGGACAGATTCTGGTAGAGAAATTAGGGCTTCATCATGGACGTGCTGCTTCAGATTTAAACTCTTGTAAAGCAGAACCACCCGAATCGGTAGGTAGGCGTTCCTGCTACCACAGACTTCCTTCTAGCCCAGAGAAGAGGACAATGGTGAAAGATGTGGCTTGCGCTCATGACGACAGCCCCAGGGACCACAGCTGTCCCACTAAGAGACGGTGGGTCACAGACAGGTTCAGCAATCAGGCCTTGCTGCCCCAGAAGCCTGTGCCCCCTACCAGTCACGGCCTTCAGAGGTCAACAGGCAGGGGTGCCTCAGATTACCTTCACCATCACCCCACAAGCTCTTTCCATAGAGTTATCTTTTCTAAAATACAGCAGAAGCTTCCTCATGCCATTTCTTCTGAGGAAATAGTCTTTGCAGAAGAAATCTATTAAAAGAAAAATTGCTTTGCTTCCAGCGAGTGTATCTCCTGTGTGTGAATGGTTTCTTCCTCATGAGGTGGCTATTGCTTGTCTTTTCTCCTCTGAGTTAGTAGCTTCTGGGTCCTATCTGGGTGTGAGAAGGGATCAGCATGTGCTCTCTTCAGAGCAGCCTCTAGAGGGCATGAGGCTGTGGGTCTCTGAGGTCCCACCCTCACCCTAGTTTCCATCATTGCACTTATGCCTCCAGCATGTGCTCACTACACAAACCAGACAGCCACTGGATTCATCATGATGACCCATCCATACAAAGACCCCTCCCAGGATCCGGCTCAACTTGCGGTTCCCCTGCTTTCCCTCCATCTCCAACTTTATGCAGCTTTGGGGCTGGGTGCACAGAGGAAGCCCTGGGGCAGTAGTGTCACATGTCACCATGTGGGCCTGGGAATGTTGGACAGGTAGAGTGGAGGCCTTGGGTTCACAGGCGGCAGACTCTTTCCACCCTAGATTTTTGGTGATGGTAGCAACACCTGCCCCAGGAGCCCCTACTCTGCTTAATGGAGACTGCAAGGGATGGGGCTTGCTGTCCATTTTATGTCAGTATGGACAACATCAGTTTCACCCAAACCAGTCCTTCCTAGCAGTCTGGGACAGCAGCACAGAATGGAACTTGCACATGTCTTTATGGGTGATTAGGAACTGCAGGACAGCTCTTGAGACTGTGTTACACTTTTTCAAGGTTACCTGCCTTCCCATGTGGGCAGGATTGTGTGCAGAACCATCCAAAGATAGGACATGATGCATTCAAGGTGAAATGCAGGAGAGTAATTCCTAAAGGTGTTGCCAGTAAGGAGGCAGAGTGGCACGTGAGTGCCACAGAGCACTGTACTTGGGAAGTGCCTGCTCACCCAGTGCCATGAACCAGCCTGGAGGAGGGAGACACCATGGTCTGTGCTGCTTACCACATCCATCTCCAGGGCTCTCCCAATTCCAGTTCCCAGGCTGTGGGCCTGAAGAAGCTCCTTTAACTCTGATATGGATCCAAGAGGGAGCAGAACCTTCAAGCAGAAAGATCGATTCTCCTATAGTATATTTAGGAGCCTGTATGTTACCTTCTCTTGAAGTCCAGAAAGAACCAGTTGACAAAAGCTGGATAACCTGGGGCTTAGGGAAACATGAATGTGTCTTCAGCTGGTCATGTTTACATACACATGTGGTCACAAATTTCCAGAGAGTTCATGACACAACACAGCCATGATGCTTGACTGGGTGAGAAGGCAAATTTCTAGATAAAATCCTGGCTTGTACCACGGAACAGCAGAGGACAGAGCCACTTAGACAGGATTTGCATAGGCAAATGAAAAATCATCTCTTCCAAACAGAACATTGATGGTATGGAGACAGACCGTGGATGGCCAGCACTGAGCTTCACCCTGCTTCCATCGAAGGGTTCCTCTTCCCAGGGCCTATCAACTTAGGGAAGTGAGAGGAGCCAAATCAGGGAGATGAGGGGTGGATTAGTCAGGTTTTGGCTACTGTAACCAGCAGCCTGAGAAATACAACAGGAGGCAAAGTTTATCTCTGCTCATAATTTGGTGGTTTCAGAGCATGGTCAGGTGACCGAAGGCAGGGACATTATGGTATCACAGCAGCAGGACAAATGAGAGTTGCTTAACTCATTGTATGAAGGAAACGGAGTGGGTGACAGGGCCCGAGAGGAGACATACCCGAAGTCAACCCTGTGTCCTACTGCCCGCAACTCTGTCCCACCTCCTTTTGCCCATTCCACTATGAGCTCAGCAATAGATTAATTTATTGCACAAACATCACTAAATCATAATTTCAACAAAACTAAATGACAGAAGGAGTTATGTCTTCAGGCTGTCATATGCTGTGACCCCAAAGTGAACTACACTGGAGTAGCCTCAGTTTGTTCCCTGGTGGAGAGTTCCACAATGGAAAGTGCCACTGGGACAGATGATACAGGAAGGGTCCCTGGCCCTGCTCCCAACAAGCAACCAACCATATGCGGGACTGTGTGGCCTGTCAGCGTGTGAATGATGGCCCTGCAGACCTGTCATGGCCTGAGAACCATTTCAGCCTCCAGCATGGGCCAGAAGCAAAAGCAGAGCAAGGACCCTGAGCCAGAGAAGCAGGATCTGGAGGGTGGTGAGGGAATGCTGAATGTGGCCTCTAGGACTATGGAGGGGACAAGGTGCACACAGGACAAAGCTGATAGACAAGCCAGAGTGAAATGGCACAAATTTGTTTCCTGTTGTTGCCAGCCCCTCCCTCCATCGTGGGCAGCAGAAAGGCCAGTGAAAGAGAAGCCAGAAAGATTTCCATTGAGCTACTCTTGATACAGCCACAGAGATCCACACTGACAAAATCACAGAGTGACATCCACAGGAGGCCCTGACTGACACTCTACTGAGAGCTGTCCTTGGAGTCTCTCTGAAGCTCTCCAGACATAGGCATATTCCCTGACTCAGACCACTGAGAGACCACTTATGACTGAACAAACCCCAGGTTAAATCTTCCATAAGACATATTGACACTACTACAGAGACTTTCAGAAATCCATGGACACCAACACAGACCTCCACAAAAAGTCACACACAGAACCATACATGGAACTCTAGAGAAAACCATATAGGCAGACCTTAAAGTAGACCCACACTAAGACCCTTACAGAGACCCCCCACAGAGAAATGCACAGAGATTTCATGAATTATATGACACAGGTTGACCATCAAGAGAAGTCTCAGGCTTCCAAAGGGACTCAAACAGAAACTCTCCTGACAAGGAGCATGAATTCTCACAAACAGATATCCAGGCATGTAGAGCTCTCAGAGAATTAGAGACCCACCCTCTACAAAACCCACATTGATAGGCCTCAACCAAGACGCATCCTGAGACTATCCTGGAGACACACTTAGCAGTTTCTCTAGATACTCCCAGAGATGTGTCGTGAGACTCTCTCAGAGCCTACATGAGATTCCCATAGAGAGCCCCAAAGATCTTTCCCGATAAGCCTATATGGCACACTCACAGAGATCCCCCTTGAGACTGCTAAAGAATACAGATTCACTTGCCAGAAGCTCCCCCGGAAGTCACACACCAATTTCACAGTGCTCACACAGAACTCTGTAAACACCTATGACAGAGACTTGTGTCAAATGAGCCCTCTGAGTCACCTCAGAGAATTAGGATGGAAATCTCCCACAGGAGCCTCTGACTACCACACAGTCCCCATACACAGCTCTCTGTCAGAGATATCACTCAAATTCCCAGAGCTTACAGTGATCTCCTAGAGACTGTTCGAAGGAGGCCATGCATACAGACCTTCCTACAATACATACCTATGTCAATATCACATGAAGACCTCTACGATCATCCCTCAGAGACCTCACACATAGAGCCCCTCACATAGAACATGCACAAAGACCTCATACAGAGGCTTAGAGAGGCACCATGGAGTGAAGGATTTTTTGCGGGGGGAGCTGGCTCAGAATGCCTTCAGGACAGGTCTAGTAAGGCTTGAGGATCTAGGGATTGAACCACAGCAACCTGAGCCTGACTGCTCTGTTTAAGCAGTCACTTAAACAACTGAGCTTATGGACAGGCCCCACCCCATGGAGTGAGTGACCTTCCAAGAACACACCTAGTCACAAAGCATGGCACATCTACTCATAAGCAAGACTTTATAATTTTACCCTACAGTTTCCTCAGAATGATTCCATTCAGCACCTACAGACAAGATCTTTGGACCCACCTAGGTTGATCCAAAAAGTACTGACACAGCCAGCTCTCATAGAGACCTTGCCTAGGACCTCCCAGGTCTTTTAGAAATTTGTTCTCTCAGGGAGCTCTCCTGAGAGACTCATAGAGGTAGCACATAAAATGCTCTGACTATAACACAGGGCCACAGTGATCCTCACAGAGAGTCCTCACCTTGATCTGCAGGGATCACACACACATTTGGAGAGACCTACACAAAAATTTATACACGAGTTTCCAGAAACCTTACAGAGACTTTTTATAGCTTCATGCAGAGAATCCTCATTCTGCCTTCCTAGTAGATCTGAACCCAATGAGACAATAGGCTTCACAAGAAGGGCTACATCAGCAGTGGCCTTCACCCAAAGTTGTGACACTCAGACACTAATCAACATGGCTCCCAAGTGGAGTATAAGCCAACACTTAGGAACATCTGTTTTTGTTTTTGTTTGTTTGTTTTTTTTTTAATAATGTGATTGCCTTGACTAGAATAATCACAGATTCAACACCAGGTTACTTCTTCCTTCTATGTAGTTTTGTTAGCTGAAGCTCTGACTCACAGATTAGAGAATGCCGATAAAATCCCACCAACTGCATATGAAACAAAATAAGGACTTTGTTCAGATTTACTTACTATTAAACTGAAAAGTATCAGTGTCACATTTTTAATTTTACTGGGGACAAGATCTGAGCTCAAAATGGCTGAGTACTTTGGAAATATGATAAAGCCCTACAATAAACAGACTATAGAATGAAACAATCCAGCATGAAGCACCTGGATGCAGTTTCCCTCTTAGGTGCCCTTGTCTCCACCATCTCACTCTGCACAGAACAGCAGTGCCAGCTGTGCGGCTTTTGCTGAAGTTTCAGTTGCCCTGAGGATCATGGGAAGTGTATTTAGAAATGTAGCAGGAGGATAATCCTGTGTTGTCTTCTGGCAAAATTAAACCTAACCCAAAGTAATAATGTAAAAAAAAAGTAATAATGTATTCTTTTCTTTAATATATGGTGATAGCAGCAACTGATAAAGGTCACATTTCTGGAATATTAAGGTCTTAATGTTCAGGTAGTTTAGTTCAAACATACAAACAAGTTGCTAGATTTCTTTTCTTTAAATGCATTCTAGGAAGTACAATGCATGCTTTTGAAGACTCAGACAGTCAAGCTCTCTTCATTATAGGTCCATACAAAAGTATACTGATTCCAAATATATCACAAAATCCATCATTGTCACA